CACCATTGAAGAACTTCGCAAAGTAATCAATGCACCAAAGTCCACACAGGAAAACTAGACACTCTCTGCGAATTGGGTCCCTCGGCAGAGAGGGAGGTTGTGGACCCTACTTCAATTTCGTCATGTCACGCCACTTTTGGGGAAGGTAACAAGTTGGTTGCTGATTGTCCTATACTCACTATAAAACTGGGAGATATTGATGCCACCTGTCTGATTGACACTGGATCCATGGTCTCAACTGTCACAGAGGACTTCTTTCGCAACCATTTGCAACCAACAGGAAGCACTATTAAGCAGAACAGTCCCTGTCTTCGTATAACGGCAGCTAATGGCTTAGAGATTCCTTATGTTGGATACATAGAAGTTGATGTAAATTGTGATGGTATTGTTTTGAGTCAAATGGGATTCTTAGTTGTCCGTGATCCACTGGATGTAGAATGTAAAGAGCAGAAGCACAAGGTTCCAGGAATTCTTGGAATGAATGTGTTGGCATCTTTGGTCGATTCCCTGACAGACAGTTGTCTCAGGGAGTCTTCCCCTTTGCATTTTCTAAGATCTGTTTTGAGCATGCAGATTGAGGCGCAGGTTAAGGAGCAAGAGATGGTTGCCATTGTAAAATCTTGTAACCAGGTGGTATACATCCCTCCAGAAACGTCAGTGACGGTGATGGCCAGAGTGCCACAAGATCTTCCTTTTCAACTGGCAGTAGTCGAACCACTGCGGAACAGCGATCATTTTCCTGTAGGGATTCTTGTAGCTTCTACATTAGTTGAAGTGAAGAAGTCTTTTCCGGTGAGAATAGACAACATTTCTAGGTCTGGTTATACTCTCCATCCCAAGACTAGACTTGGAGTGTTACGTTCAGTTGACAGTGTGGGGCAGGACTCAGGTGAATTAAATTTCACAGTAACTGCAAGTGAAATTCGTGTCGATCGAGCAGATATGAGCACCGCCTCGCCAGTTCCAATAGATTTGTCTGAGTTTGAGGGTGACGATCAGCAGATGGAGAAGATACAGAAGTTGCTCAAAAAACATAGAGATGTGTTTGCCACTCATGATCTTGACCTAGGTGACACTGACACCGTAGAACATCACATAAAAACAACAACTTCAGAACCTACAGCACAAACATTCAGGCGCATTCCACCTAATCGATACAACGAAGTGAAGAAACACATCCAGAAACTTCTTGACCACAACATCATACATACAAAGTTTTAGCCCATATGCCGCTCCCATTGTGTTGGCTAGGAAGAAGGATGGTTCTTTACGTATGTGTGTAGATTATAGGCGCCTAAATGAAGTCACAAAGAAAGATGCTTTCCCTCTTCCACGTATTGATGAACTCATTGACGCTCCAGTCGGTGCCAAGTTTTTCTCTTCCTTGGACTTGGCCAGTGGATATCATCAGGTTAGAGTAAGAGATGAAGATAAAGAAAAAACGGCATTTGTGACACCTATGGGGTTATACGAATATACTAGAATGCCATTTGGCCTCTGTGGAGCACCAGCTACTTTTCAGAGACTTATGCAGAGATGCATGGGAGATCTTATGTATCAGATGGTCTTTGTCTATCTTGACGACATTTGCATCTTTTCCAAGACCTTTGATGATCATTTACAGCATCTTGACACTGTTTTTAACAGACTGAGAGAACATAAACTCAAGTAGAAGCCTTCCAAGTGCCACTTGTTCTGCAAGAAAATATCTTATCTGGGTCATGTGTTATCTGAAGATGGTGTTTCATCGAATCCCGACAAGACCAAAGCCATTGTCGACTGGCCTGTTCCTCGTACAGTCAAGATGCTGCGAGCCTTTTTAGGTTTTGCGAGCTATTATCGACGTTATGTCCCTAACTTTGCAAGGATTGCGAAGCCACTACATACTTTGGTTGGTCAGTGTCGTAGCAGTTCTCCAAAAGTTTTCCGAAAACATTGGACTCCAGAATGTCAAACAGCCATGGATGAACTGAAATCCAAGTTTGTTAACCCACCTATTTTGTCATTTGCAGACTTCACTAAACCCTTTATTTTGGATGTAGATGCTAGTCTGAGTGGGTTAGGTGCTGTGTTATCTCAGATCCAGGACAATCAGGAAAAGGTCATAGCGTATGCGAGTCGTTCTCTTCGAGAAAACGAGAAAAAGATGGAAAACTACAGCTCAAGAAAACTGGAAATGATGGGACTAAAATGGGCCATAACAGAGAAGTTCAAAGACTACCTATATGGATCTACTTTCACTGTTAGAACCGACAACAATCCTTTGAGTCACCTTAACACAGCAAAACTTGGAGCAACAGAACAGAGATAGGTTTCAAGTCTGGCACCATTTGATTTTAATATAGTCTATCGTCCTGGTCGTGCCAATCGAAATGCTGACGGCTTATCTCGACAGTGCTCGATAGAAACTGAAGACAGCTGCACAATTTCTGAAATGGTAGCAATAAGTGGAAATGCTCAGTTTCCCTTCACTCCTTTGCCAGTGGATTTGCAGGTGAAAATGTCGGAGAATGTCGTTGACCTTGGTCCAATGCGAATTCAAGCAGAAATTGGCTCCACTATATCTGCCTTTCCATCTTTGTCAAATTCCGAACTGATCAAATTACAGGAAGTTGATCCAGACATACACCGCTACTTAGGTTACCACAACTCCAAAGACACAGATAAAGCCAGTAGGAAAACAGAATCGTCCGCTGTAAAAGTTCTTTTGAGACAGACTAAACATCTTTCACTTCGAAATGGTGTTTTGTACAGGGAGGTAACGGATCCTAAACTTGGTCCACTACATCAGCTAGTTCTGCCTTCATCACTCAAGTCGAGAATTCTTACAAGCTTACATAATGACTTTGGGCACCAAGGAGAAGAGAGAACAATGTCATTGATTCGTCGTCGTTGTTATTGGCCGCATATGTACCGTGATGTGAAGAAATGGGTTCATGAGTGTGAGCGCTGCTCGGTTGCCAAACTACCTACACCAACTGTGAGAAATCCTCTGGGACATTTGGTCGCCTCAAAGCCTTTGGAGATCATTGCTATTGATTTCACATTGTTAGAACCATCCACAGACCATACAGAAAATGTCTTGGTGATCACGGATATTTTTACAAAGTTCACTGTAGCTGTTCCAACAAAGGATCAAACTGCAAGGACTACAGCTGCTGCATTAGTCAAAGAGTGGTTCATGAAATATGGGGTTCCTCGACGTATTCATTCTGATCAGGGTCGTCAGTTTGAGAGTGTGCTAATTCAGCACTTTTGTCAGTTCTACAACATCCACAAATCAAGAACTACAGCATATCATCCTCAGGGCAATGCACAATGCGAACGATTCAACAGAACGATGCATAACCTATTTCGTACCCTGTCAGACGAACAGAAACGTGCTTGGCCAAAGTACCTACCAGAACTAGTCTTTGCCTACAATTCCACAGAACACTCTTCTACAGGTTTTTCTCCCTTTTATCTAATGTTTGGTCGTCAACCTTTCTTGCCGGTTGACTTGTTACTAAACACAGATGTGTTAAAGGGTTCTGACGACAATTGGCTGCTACTTCATCAGTCTCGACTTAAAGAAGCCTACCGGTTAGCACAAACCAAGCTACAGCACCAGTTGAGGAAGAGCAAGAAACACTTTGACCGCAAAGCTAATCCCAACATCTTCAAAATAGGTGATCTTGTTTACCTTCGTAAACATAGTCGTGGCAGAAGTAAGATTCAGGACTATTATTTTCCAGACATATATCGAGTAGTACAGCGACCAGATATGACTTCTTTTGTGTACTTCATAGAACTGGCAGTTGGAAGCGGTAAACAAAAAACCGTGAATTCGGCTGAGCTGAAATTGGTCCCTACAATCCCAACATCCTTTCCTTCTCCAAGTCAGGAAATAGATAAGGTGATGGTGAGTTCCTCAGATTCTGGTTCAGACTCGGAATATGACATTGAAGTTTTCTTGCCGGCTGAGGATGTAGTTGTGGATTCGGTTCAAGAGCCAGATAGACCGGTTGCCCCAGATCCTGAGGCAAGACCCCCTCCAAAACCTTCATTGAGACGTCAACTTCCACAACGACCTCCAGTTGCATTGCGTCGATCTCGACGAACTACAAAGGGTCAACACAGTAATCCACATCGTGAACCACGCTCAGTCTTGAATCGCCAACATATCGCATTTGATAGCAACAGACAAATAATATTGCTATTGATGTTTCTTGTGATCCTTCTTGTAGCAATTAACATTGGACAAATAGTTGGATATTTTCATTTACTCTGGCTATTTCCATCATGTATCCTTGTCATATTGATCCAGCCATGTTTTCAGTGGTGTTGGCGACACAGGATGAGAATTGTTGATGTTGTAACGTTCATGAAGTCATTGGATGGTTGACTACAGTGGTTTAGTTATGAAGTTTGTACATATTTTTAATTAATATACATTTATAAATTAGCTTTAATCAAGGGTAGATTGAAATAAATTTAAAATAAGGCCATAGTGTCAAGGTTACTTCGCATATTTAGATGTGACCGCATTGTCAGTTTAATTAGCAAATTGTAGGTATTGTCAAGTTTCTTATCAGCCGTTTACATGCCCTATTCGCAGAATGACTAGAAGGTTTCATCAGTGCATTGAGGTTAACTCGTTTCTAGGGACATCCTAGGTTGGACTGTTTTGTATAATACCCTCCTAGATAGTTCTATCATACTAGGGGACATTTGGTTTGAATAGTAGCCTAGTTTATCATCTTTATTGTGATATTTAGAACATCTTTATATTAGTCCATGAGGTCAACTCGCTCTTAGTGATATACTGAGTCTGGACTACGAGATATTTCTAATTGATATTGATCACTAGGTATTCACCATGCAGTATCCTCTAGGAAGATTCTAGGATAAGTTGGCATTTGTAGAGGCAGAAACTTGAACTTGCACATACTACCATCTAACTACTGCTACTTATTCCTCATAGTCTACTTATTCCTCGTATAGTTTTCTTTCTTTTTTAAATTAGGGGGTGAGTGTGACCTGTCGTGTTTTACAACAGACAGGTCTCGGTAATATTTCTAATATAATCATAAGCATAGTACATAGGCTGTACAATATGATGAGCCATTATTTTGATAACATAATTAGCGCCCTCTGTAGTTACAGAAACTTTTTATTGCAACGCCCTCGCTTGGTTCCTTAACTTTCCTGCAATCACATTCTAGCATAACCAGCTACATTGGCCAGGAACATTCCAACATACCTTGCATTCCAGAATATTGTTAACACTTTCTGAGCTGCATTGCGTGCTGCATAACTTAGCTTTCGTGTAATGACAAGGCATTGCTAGAGACACTCATCCACTTGCTTGCGATCAGACCACACCTACAATTTAGAAGTGCTCTGATTATAGCTCAACTACAGCTAGTTGGGGACAATTTCCCCTTCGTTTGGTGGTGGCACGACCGTTGTTCAGCCTAGGCGGTGAGTACACACCTAATTTTTATATCTTTCTTTTCAATTTTTATTGTAAATTTTGTAGAAGCCTTGTGTAAAGATACTATGGATAGATTTTCACATAATACAAAGGGTTTGATTCTCTTCAATTGTAATTATGCTTGAAAGAGAAGTGTTCTCGATATTAAAGAGAATACATGCTATAAAATATCACCTTTACCCACCAGCTTTAGGCATAATTGGCCATAATTGTAAGGTGAATTAGCAAGAAATGTAAAGCAATAACTAAAGTAGAACGTGCTTCTTCAAGTTTCTCTTATTACCTGATGCTTAAGTAAACTAAAGCACTGTTTCAGAGACCATGGGCAGTATTATGCACCATGAGGCTCCGCCAAATATTAGTTTAAATGTTAGAATTATCTTATTAGTTTTGTAACTGATTGGATTTTGTTAAGCAAGGAAAAATTAAATGGATGACAACCAGTTTCCACGATGACAAGTTTTACAAATATATGTACACATTCCAAATAGCTTTAGTTAAATAATTAAATTCCTGGATGTTGAAGTTTTTCCAATTTTATCAGCAAAAGCTAAGATTAAAACATGCAACAGTAATTTTATGTACCCGACATGAAACAGTCGTTGTATACAACCATGTGCTTTACCCGCAAACGTTTTCACCAGATTGATACGATAAATGAATCCCAAATTACCCTTTTTCGATTCAGCACATGGACTTGAGATTTGCACAATGGAAACAGGGATGATAATGAGAGAATATGGCATAGTAATTATGTAATATATCTAGCAAATTTATCCTTAATAGTTAGAGTTTGGGACACGATTTAATCTAACTACCTACACGTTTGGTGGCGGACCCGAAAAGGACCGTTTCGCACAGCGCATTATAAGATGGCAAGTCACATGTGATATAAATAGACATGATGGAATCACGGTTTTGCATAAACACTACGGTGTGTCCTAAAGGACACGGACTCTGACAATAATAATTATTAGCTGGCCTATTATTAATGGATGGATTTGGGATTTTATAATGCATTTATTGCATATCCTTGGAACTCTGAGAAGAAAATATATTGAACCTCTTTCAGGATTATATGGTACAATTGTTACAGATAAATTAACGTATTTACATTGCGGAGCTAAGCTGTAAATGCTGAATTGAATTGCTATGTACATGTATTTTTAAATGATAACAAACTAATGAGATGTCCATTTTCGTTTTCTTTAATTCCACAGACGTACAACTGTATACCCATTTGACTGTCGTTTTTTTGTATATATATTCGAGAGAGCCACAACTGTATATTTTGTATAGATTCATCCGAATAAATTAATCAAATCTAGTCATCTCTCCGTGTCCACTCGCTTCACATCAATATTTATTAACTATAAGTAGCCTTCGGCCACATGAAGAGTTCCCTGCTAGACCAAACCAATAACTCTTCCCTTGGCTACACTACACAGCGTAGCTTAGTGATCGATAATTTAAGAAAAAATCGCTAGCGGTATCTTTCTGCACAAAATAGCAGCTGTAGGACTATTACTTAGGACAATGCTTCAGCCAAATCTCTTTCTCATGAAAAAAACAAAACAAATACGCGTATGCGTGAGAAAAACAAAACGTTGCGGTCAGTGTCTTTGACAAATAAAAAGAAGCACACCATAAATATGTGTAATCGGATCAATATAAGTCGCTCTCAATCTGTGACAGAATTTCACCTACAGAAATAACCCATTTTTAAATGACCCAATTATTGTTAATTGTTCAGCTATCGTTCTTTAGAATTCTTTACCGCAGCTCGTGGATTAATTATCACTGCCGTTGTCATGAAGATTTGGAATATAGGAATTAGGAAACGTTCATGCATAGAAGCTTTACCTGGATAATTTGGAACAATGAATTTGGGTCAACCATTGCACAACAATTTGGTCTATCAGCCTGGTTTTTTTTTCAGCATATAAACAATAATTTGCTGTAAGTCCACATATTTTGCCATCGAATATTCAGCGCACGATTCAAAAACGGCCAAAGGTTAACTCTTACAGAGTCAACGTGCTGGGATGGCAATTTATCTCAAAATATATGCTATCAAATAAAATAACAATTTCAGATCACAAATAAAAGCGGTGAACATTGACAAAGGAACGGCTTCGTCACTGTTACTTCGAATAGCTTTCACTCGACTTGAACTTGGATGGCTGGGTGATAAACTTACGACCGACTCTTGATGATGTGATTAAAATCACGTAGGTACAAGTACAATGTATACCGAACAATAGAGATCATTTGAAATGCTGCAGGTGCGGGATACGTTTGAGGCTCGGAAATACTTGCTGATTATATGTTATTTTCCATGTGATTAATCCAACAGACCCAAATATCATTCGAATTGTCATCGTCCCTGTACGAGAAGTCAATTCTGGCAGTTTTAACACTCTGCAAAGTGTGTACATAAAAAAAAAAAAAAAAAAAAAAAACGCAGACATTACTTCTTTCAAGAGACTTGAACAACTCCATACTCGGTCCAGGCTGTAACTTCATCATACAAATCCAAGCACTGAATTGCTGTGAAAGTGTACGACCGCAATATGATCCTTGACACACGGACAGATTGAAACATAGAATTAAAACTGCAGTTACAACTGAACTGTCTCACAGAGAGACTGAAATCCCATACCTCCTTAATTTTGCTGTCTCACGTTAACTGCGTGGGCGCGCGAGGTCTGGATGTCATAGTATTGACCGAGTGGTAAGACATCTGCACTAGAAAGCAGGAGGTCGTGGGTTCGAGTCCCACCCGAGTGATTTTTTTCCAGCTTTCACTCGGGAGGTAACACACTGAAAATATACAGTGTTTAAACGTCGGTGAAGGGCAAAACCTAATTTGATTTATATCACCCGACGCAAAATTCCATCTTATAACAAAAAAACATGTTAGTAATTCGAGCTTCAGTTTTTATTTAGCGCACAAATACAAAAGCAAACCCAGTTGGTCATTTACAACAGTCGCCGGTAACCCACAGATCCTGCGTTCACCTTAATGAGAACATCATTTTCTATAACAAACAATACGTGGCAATGCCAGTGGCGGCGCTGCTGGAAGGTGGGGGCATTTGTTGTTTCCTTTTCCCCCAGTTCAACGACCCCCTCCCCCCGCCATTTTCCATTAACACTTTATCAACAAATATATTAATTATGTTTATTGTTTTCGCTGTTTAGATTCATGACAAGTTGAACATAGGGGATGAATCATCGGTTCTGTGGAAACACATTGGGCCAATGAAAGCATTATATACATTGGAACCTTGGCAGACAAAACACAAATGCATTTATACAGCCGTGGATAGTGTGCAGTCAACTTCTTTTTTTGTTTTGTTATACATTTGTTGTAGACCATTCTGCGGGTGGATACATTTCCCATTCATAAAACAACCAACTACACTTCTAAGTTGCTCCAGTGTCTTATTTCCGGACCATTGAGAATGGGCACGCGCGCGTACACAGGCTTTTAGTTACCATTTAGTTGTTGGGCTCTTCCTTACTTTCCCCTATAGATTTTGAATATCATCAAATTTAATTTTGACTCCCCCCCCCCCCAATAAAAAAAACCCAAATCCTTGCCCCTTATTGCCCCCCCCCCCCCACCATTTTTATGGCAGCAAGGAAAAAAACAAGGCCCGAGCGTACGTATTAGGAACCAGTTTTTATTTGACACATGTACGATATCAATTCTCCCTGACAATCACTCTTCCGGTAATCACAGGCTCATCTCAATGCAACACTCTTCGATTTTCTGAGAGCGTTACCAAGCCAACCAGTTACTAAAACCAGTCCCTGCTTAACATTCCCTATTACCAAGAGGTGATTCATTTGGGATAAAGTAATCTCAGTCGTATCTCGCATACACTTTAAAACCCTTCTGTTGACCTTCAAGGCTCTTTGTGATCTTGCTCCCAGATACATTATAGACATGTTGAAAGTTAAGGTCCATTCCAAGTATTCCCTGCGATCCAATGGGCGGTTGCTTTTGGACTATCCATCTGGGAGAATGCAAAAGACTATGGAAAATCGTGCATTTGCACAAGCCGCTCCCAGCTTATGGAACCAGCTACCGCCTGAAATTCAGTCTGTTCAGTCTCTAACAGTTTTTTTAAGACTAAGCATAAGCCTTTCCTTTATACAAAGGCATTCGTTTAAGGTTTTAGTATGATCTATTTTAAATGTAGGTCTTGTTTTTGTAATTTTAAGTTTCATTGTTTTGACAGTGTTTTCTAAAATATCTAGTGTTTTTTTTTACATTTAAGACTAATGTTTAATTCGAATTTGTACTTTTAATATTTTATCTATACTGTTCAAATGTTGTAATGCGTATTTAAACATGTTATGGTATATGCGCATAATAAATGCAAATTTATTATATTATTATTATTGTGGAAAGGCTGTACAGCCCATCTTCAATCACTTCCCGTATAAAATAATATTAGAACTTAAAAGTAATGATTTAAAGATAAAAACTTAAAGTAATCATGTAAACTGTAAAACAAAAGGATAATATTTGAAATTTAACGTACAAGAAAAAAAGGAACAAGAAAAAAAACATGATAAAATCTGTGACCAAAAAAAACCAAAAAAAAAAAAAGAAAAATAAAATTGATGCGCGGACATACATTACACACTATAATAAAACGTTAAAAATAAGTACATATAAATTTAGAAGTGGAAAAAAAACACCCTAACGCCAACTGGCCAACAAAAACAAAGGAGATAAAATAGAGATAGTATCAAACAATTACGCGCAACAAACAATCGTTTACACTAGAAAAAATAATTCTGAAAGATAAGAACAAAATAACATTAAACAATAATGGAAATGCACAAAACCAAATTACACACAACAGAGAAGCATTAAACGTGTTAAAATTTATAATAATAAAACAAAAATGAAAGTTGAAAATATATATAAATAATTATCTAATAAAAAATGTAAAGATATAAAACGAAAACCTTGCCTAATAAAAACACAAAAATAAAAAGATTCTATATTAAGCTAAAATGTCAAGAAATCAAACAGGGAACTTTTGAACACTTTCACAGATGGACTTTGGATGACGTGTTCGGGCAGACTTTTCCACTCATTTGCAGTACGTATAAAGAACGAATGTTTGAAACAATCAGTTCGGGCAAAAGGAATACCGAGTTTCAGGCTATAATCATTTCGCCCAATTCTCGAGGCTGGATGAAACTTATGAAGGGCATTAATATTGATGAAGCCCTTAAGAATTTTAAAACGCATTACCAAACGAATGAATTTTCATCTAGTTTGGTCCAACAGAGTCTATCTATCTGAATTTCTTCCCCAATTTATTGAATGGGGGGGGGGAGAAAACTGTGTATGCCATATGTACGGGGGTGTTTAAAAAATCGGCATTTCGTGCGTCAAAATTTCGGTCAAAATTACCCCATGTTAACCAGACAAAGCGCGCAGTCGGCCTGATGACCTTGGCCATAGAGATAAAGCCCCGTGTCGACGTCATGTCGCGCACACAGCCCTGATTGACCTCAGTTTCTTCTCAGTTTCTGAGGTCACGCACGCATAGCCCAAAAGCGTACGCGAGTTTTTACGAGATGTAACACAAAAGTACCTGGATACGTGCACTGTTTGGCCAAGATGGCTAAATAAGTTAAAAGTTGAAGTCGTGTGCTTTATTTTGATACCAAAAATAACTGCTTTTGAAGAAATGGCAAGGCTTAGTAGATAGAGGAAAGTATACGCTTCTTTTTCATGTGAAACACGTGCAGGAGACTTCTAGTGTTAAGTTCAAATCGCCGGTTGTAAAATGATCAGAAGACTTTTGCGAGATTCCATGGTTTGCAATCTCATGTACGCGTGTAAACGAACGTAAGTAGGCCAACCATGAGGCCAACGGCCTGAACAGCACGTGCGAACGTGTAATGAATGACTTGTGAATATCAAGCAAGCCATCTCAAGCTCGATGCATGCAATAGCGACGATCTTTTCGCGTTCGTGAAAAATATTGTTGTTTTCCAACGAAAAGTTGTTAGAAACATTAGGTGTACATCGAATTCTTAAGATATGAACGACATCACGTTCCCGAGATTTTTTGTAGATAAAGGTTCATTCGTTCCCTTGAGTACATTAACATTTGGGAGACTTTCGTTGTTGTCGAAAAAAACCCATATATTTCATGACATAATATAAGTCGATTTGTCCGTGAAATAATATCGTCAACATTCATCGAAATCATTTTTTTTTACAAAAAAATACCTCGATAGATGCATTTAGTAGGTCTTTAACTACCTGAGACAGCTTTGTTTGTTTGGATCAGTTGTGTTTTGGCATGAAAATTGCGAATTTTCTAAAGCCCTTTTTACGGCCATCGTTCGCTGGCCTCGCGTTGCTGTCAGTTGTCTGGTCGAGAAAATAGAGCAGCCATGCGTGACACGGCAACTGACTGAATACGGGCGATTCCCAATAGTGCGCCTCCAAGAGTTTGCAACGCGTTGGCCAATCACAATGCGCGAAATCAGTCGACCTTTTCCAAACGCGCATTGGGTCGACAGATTTCGCGCATTGTGATTGGCCAACGCGTTGCAAACTCTTGGAGGCGCACTATTGGGAATCGCCCGTATTCGAATGCAGTGTTTTGTGAGACAACAACAGCCGTGCGCGCATTCGCGTAGCATGATACAGAGCGCCGCCACCGCCGTGACTCAGTTTTTTTTTATATCCATGTCCATGACGCGCAACGGGTAAATGACCGAAGACCCGAAATAGAAAGAGCCCGCTGATTAGTCAAAATCTAGGAGGTCGAGAGGCGGGGTCTTGTCTAATTAATCAGCAACTCTGCTCATGCATCATAGAGCATGGCTTTCGCCATGGTCTAATTCAAAGACTATACATCGACAAACTGCAGTTCAACTTTAGACCAGAAGACACGGTACTGGACGTGGGATGTCAAGAGTGTAACAGGTTTTTCAAATTCGATTTCATTATCTAATTGTTAAGGAGCACAAAATTAGTTGAAATGTTTACTAGTTAAAGTTGAAGTTATTTTTTGGCCACTGCCACTGTGTAGAGTTTAGTAGCATAGACGTAGCCTTGGGGTATCTATACTCCCCCCCCCCCCATATTATGTAAAGACTGCCCCCCCCCAATATTTGTAAAGAGTGTCCTTCTTTTAACAAGAGCATTTTTTTCTGAACAAGTGCTCTTTTTATAAAAAAAAAGTCGTACCTTGTTTGTGCCATTTAACGTCGCCATTTAACGTCGCGTACGTATCGCCCTGAAAAGCACCGTTATACTGTGCGTTAGTGTGCATAATCGTCGTTTTTGAAAAGCGCCCCCATCGACAGAGGGTACCAGCGTGATTTCTCCTGCATTCTAACTAAGGCAATTTGAACATAAATGTTTTCCCCATTCTACACAACATTTGTCTCAGGCTGGAGGGGGGGGGGGGCAAATCCGCCACTGCGTAGAGTGTTCCCCTCCACCAACCTCGTCCCGAGTGCTCACTTTATTTCCAACCTCGTTTCCAATAGCCCTGGATACGACACTTTCTTTCTGTATTCTGATTCTATACCGCAATTGGCCAGAAATGGATTTATATCGTGTACGTGGTTTGTTATTCACAACGTGCAGTACGTGTTTTCGCGATCATTCGTCCACGCCTTCTCAAAACCATTCATTTCCTTCCTAATTTGTTAATATTAATATGACATATGATACTGCAAGTTGTTTTGTTAAGATCGTAACAGTTTAATTAAAATAAAAGCGTGTTTTCGTAACTCACGCCATATATGCTCGCGCTGCGACGAATTGATTCTGTTTTTACCCCAGACACTGCATAAAAAATCAAACGCAATGTAACGCAACAGCACGCACCAGACTATTCCTCATTTGCCCACGTGATCAAAAATTTTGCACATGCAAACGTCAATACCAGGGTGAGAGAGCCAATGTATGATGATAGCGTAATGTTCATGTCACAGTTCAAGGTCGTATGCCGTCAATGCTGAACATGAATCATGCAAAACGCGTTTGATACCCGACAGTTCAGTGTGTGAATGAAGTCATGCGGGGTTGTTCAGACACAGTCATAGTTCCTAAAGATTATCATTACTTTCATAGTCTGTTTCGACCAGTGAAAAATTAGCATCTCTCATGAATTTCTCAGCGAGTAACGACTACTGCGGGGATGGCAGATTCGCCCAACATTCCGTCATCATGCAACACATTGACAAACTGGAGTTGAGACCAACAGACACGGTACTGGACGTTGGATGCGGTACTGGGGAAGAAACCAAGTCAATGGCAGGGAAAGTCAAGAGTGTAACAGGTAAGATCAGTTCCATTCCTCGGCTTCTGCATCGTCCTTACGAAAATGTCCTGTGGTATTTCTGTGGTACTTCTGCGGTACATATGTTTACCACAGAAATTACCACAGGAAAAGTATATATGACCAGAGTACCACACAAATGTATGTGGTAATGCCAACGCGGTCCTGTGGTATTCATGTGGTACATGTAGGTACCACACGAAGTACCACAGAACAGTAGGATTTGAGGAGAGTACCGCATACATGTGTGTGGTATTTGCCACCAATCATCGATATCCTGTGGTACTTCTGTTGTACTGTACTAAATACCACACAAACTACCACAGGTCAGTGGAATCGGAGGAGAGTACCACATAAATGTGTGTGGTTCCTTCGATATCATGTGGTACTTCTGTTGTACCATATATGCTAAATACCACACACACAAAAATGATATATTTAGGCCGAATGTATATTTAGGCCGTATTAAAAAAAAATGTTTCTCGTCCGGGTTTCTGAAAAAAAGGAGGAAGCTGAGAGGGGCTTCTTTTTTTTTTCAAGATGGCCGCCATTTAAAAAATTCCTGCAACCGTTGGTGTTTCCACTGTTCAAAGACACTTTTAAAATGAAAGACAAGTTGGACAAGAGAACTGAACACATTTACAGTCATTTAGAGTTGTATTAGTCTACAATGAACAGTTTGCATATGCAGTTTAACCGTGTACCTTTCGGTGTTTGTTTTACTGCATTTTTCAAAATTAAAAACATGATAAAAAATCCAGGGGGCCTCCAAAAAGGAAGCTGGCAGGGACGAGAAACATTTTTTGTTTTTGTTTTTTTTACTTCGCCTTATATGTGCAACTTTAAAAAAAATATGATAGTTCTGCTACCACATAATTTACCAAAGGAAAAAAAGATTACCATCCAATATACAATGTACATAAATTATAACTAATAAACCCGAATAAGAACACACCGAAATAAAAAAATACATGTACAAATATTGCCCCAATATGTACTAAACGTTTACTGTACAGTACATGTACATAAAGCCCATGCATACTTACATGTACAATGTACATGTGTATTGCAAGGTACACTGTATCCTGTTCTCCACAACCACATCGTGAGCTTGAGTGCCCTGTTCAGTGTGTGACCCATGCGTGACCCATGCGTGATTCCATATACACAGTGTATTAACCATGCAGGGGTCATGTTCTGCACACGAACGGTCACCCACACAGTTACCCTACTGACCACAAATTCGTATCCTTGTGGAGACTCACACACAATATGGAACAAAACATTGTAAAGGTCTCCACAGGGCAATTTCTATAGATGAATAGGTCTCCACAAGGTTTTCACGAAATAGAAATATGGGTTTTACTCAAAAACTAGGAATTTCCAAGGTGGGTTGATCCGTCGCTAATGGAAGAGTTTTAGAAAAGGGATATTATTTCCAAATTTTAGCCAAGGAAACTAATTCTGGTTAAAATAAGAGCAAAACCAGTACAGTTTGAATCACAGCACTACAAGCAGCAGTAGAGTTGTGCGTGGGGCAGGACATGGCAGAATTCAAAACAGTGAATATTTGTATGAAATAAGTGCCTCACTTCTGCCTGTAAGCAAAGATCAATTGCCAGTATTATATAGTGTGTTAATGTGAGCTTGAACATACTATAGTATTAGTAGGTGGCATGTTAAGTTTTCTGGATGATGAAAACTGGACCGAGTGGATCGAGTCATGCTGAATGGATCTTGCAGTAGTCTGTTCATTGAGCTATTTGTATAGCTCCATGGTCTGTCTAATGCACGGGTAAGTCTGAATTATGATGTCTCTATAGCTAGCTAGTGCCAATGTAGGAATTTGTTGCAAGACATTTACGTGGATCAGTGAGGAATTCCCATTACAACTTCATAGAATCAATTAGTGGGGTTGCAAAACTCTACAATTTGTCATTGGCATTATATAATATTCAGTCCAGTTTGCATCCTCGCATATTCAACATGGAAGCTTTTTTGAAAAATCCCATGCTCTTTCTAAACCGTGTCACATATGACTTGATGACAATGCTGCATTTGTTCGGTGCCATCTTTATTATCAGATCTGCCTCATCAAAAGTATAAACTGTTTGTGTTCTTTGTGTCAAATTGGAAAACTTTGTCTTCAAGTGATTTGACTGGGAATTTAAAAGGGGTAAGAAGATATATTGTTCATGAAATGACACCAAACATTTAGATTTAAACATAGTAAAAGTTAAATGCAAACTCATTACTTTATATATCAAGTATGGAACTTGGACGAACTTCAGTAACACCATCTGCTCATGACTATGGTAAATTACTCTCCTGGTTTAACTTCTGCATTCGTAAATTACACACAAGTTAATAATCAATTCACAGGATGTTACCGCAAATATTCCATACTTAACCCTAAAGGGGCCGGGTTATTTTGACCATCTCTCAGCCGGGGGGGGGGCGGATTCCGCCCCCCCCCAAGATCTCGGCCATCGAGTAACGAAAAAATTTGAAACTCAGCACATGCATAGAGCAACTCTTCCTAAACATGCCCAAGAAATTTCATGACTATAGGTCAAAGGGTTTTGGAATTATGGCTAATTAATTATTCATATGTAGGAATGGCAATTCTGCTCGGTGTACACGACGTATATGCGAAAATTCAGTTTTCACGGCGCGTAGCGCCTGAAAATTTTTCACTACGTGCCAACCCGTGGTCCGATTTTTATGTTTTTGGTATCAAAAGATGCGCAAAGCTCGAGGCTAAAAAGTCATAACAGCTCGGGTCGCGAAGCTATCGCGGAAAATGTTGAGGGGGGGCGGATTCCGCCCCCCGGCCCCTTTAGGGTTAAGTGATCGGTTGTTGCATGCACTCTTTGGTATTATTACAAACGTTGATTGTTAAATTTGTTTTTAATAAAAAAAACGTATATTAGGCCAAACAAAAATAGTCGGTCTCTGGTCAGCACGCGCGTCGAATTTAATCATGCGCGTCAATCTTTTTTTTCCCAATATTTTCGGCGGTAGCTCCAACAGGAGCCTCTATTGCCGCACCTCCTCAAATTTGTGTACCAAGGAGCACCAAGGAACGGGAAATTGCACCAAGGCAAATGATCGAGGGCACCAAGGCAAATTATGGAGGACACCAATGTACATGAGGACACCAAAAAATGCAAAAATAGTACCCCACCTTGTCTGAACAGTCCAAGCTTGAAAAAAAAAAAAAGTCGCGTCGCCGCATCAATTCCGGAACTTTGGTCTGACCAGAGACCAAGTATTTTTTTTTTTTGGCCTTACAGAAATGTACAAAAATGTTTTCGAGTTTGACTGCAACTAAAATACAACTTAAAAGGGGAACTGCATCTGCTCATTTTTTTTTTCTTTGTTGAACACCATATGGATTCATACAAACTAACAAGTTTGTTTCTTTTCCAGCTTTCCTAACTTAATTTCCACCAATGATGTTGGTACATGTGAAGAAGAAACCATGGATATTCTACCTCAAGGATCCCGTCCAATTGGAAACAATGGAATCCCATCCAGCAATTACCAAGGGAACATTAATACCGCAGGAACATTATCAAATATACATTAATACCACAGCTGCAGGAACAGGTACCGCAGGAACTAACAAAGGAACTTTGCCCCCCCCCCCCCGGCGACATTTCCACAAAACATTATACCGTGGTCAATTTACCACAGGAACAATAACAACGTACACAACGTACCACAATAACATTTACCATAGGAATAATAACAACGTACCACAGGAACATTTACCACAGGAATAAAAACAACGTACCACAGGAACATTTACCACAGGAATAAAAACAACGTACCACATGAACATTTACCACAGGAACAATACCAAATGAACCGCAGGAACATTTAGTTACCACAGGAACATTTACCACAGGAATAATAACAAATGTACCACAGGAACATTACCACACACTCTCAAATGTGTAACCTTGTGGAGACTTTTTTATTTTCTCGTTTAGTACAGTTTTCAATTTTGAAATTGAAGTTTCAAAATGCTGTTATTTTAACCAGAATTAATTTCCTTTGCTGAAATTCGGACTTAATATCCCTTTTCTTAAACTCTTCCATTTGCGACAAATCAACCCACCTTGGAAATTCCTTGTTTTTGAGTAAAATCCATATATCGTTTTCGTGAAAACCTTGTGGAGACCTATTCATCTATAGCAATTGCCTTGTGGAGACCTTTACAATGTTTTGTTCCCTATTGTGTTCGTGTCTCCACAAGGATACACATTTGAGCACACCCACACGGACGGCCAAGGCGGAAACAGTATGCTCCTTCGTCTTCGCCGGCGGGGCATAAAATATCCATTAAGTAATAACATTGGTGTTACGTTGTTCTTTTCTCATGAATAAACGTAACTTTCCCCTAAAACTACTAAATATTCGTGATCAATTGACGATCACTGCTGAAGAAAAAAATGTGGAAACCGCGACGTTAACAAATAAAAGACCCTTTCAACAATATTATAGCCAGCAAGTGTACTAAGCATTCGTAATACTGTGTGGTGTACAACAACAAAATGCACATGTACATGAACTATACATGTGCCCGTATACATGTACATTATACTGTGCAAGAACAGCCACACCGAAAACATACAGTGTATGTACAGGACATCTATCTTCCTTTTTGCCCCAACTTATGGGATGGGGGAGGGGGGGCACTGCGTATGCCATACATACGGGGAGGGTTGTCTAAAAAGTCGGCATTTCTGGCCTATCATAGGAGGCTTTATGGGCTATACTGCTCACATATAGTTTCTCGAGAAAACAAACACACAAAATTCCACCTACGATAGCCGGAAAAATAGGTGCGTCAACACCTCCTCCCTGGAGCAGCTGGCGCCCTTACGAAAATGTCCTGTGGTATTACCACGAAAAACTACCACAGGACATTACCACAGGAAAGTTCTTGTGTTTTTTGGGGGGACATTACCACAGCACTGTTCATGTGGTAACATTTCTGTGGTTCAATGCCTGTGGTAACAGTCCTGTGGTACAATTCCTGTGGTAACATTCTTGTGGCAACATTCCTGTGGTACCATTCATGGGGTAACCATTCCTGTGGTACCATTCCTGTGGTACCATTCCTGTGGTAACATATTCCTGTGGTAACATATTCCTGTGGTAACATATTCCTGCGGTAACATTCCGGTGGAACTAGTGTGCGGTACGTTCCTGTGCGTGTGTGCGTGTGCATTTGGTTCCACTGCGATGTCTGGATTGTATGTTCATGTATGTCTTGAACCTTGATACAATGAAGGTAGCTTGCAAGAGTTTGGACCCCAAAGGGTTTTATTAGTGGTTGGGCCTTGAGCCCAACACCTATTGGTTTTGTAAGAATTTACTGTTTTTGTTCTTCTCAGCATATTCATAGCAAATCCTTCTCCAGAACTGTTTGGAAAAATGGAAACATATATGAACTTCATTTGTCAATACATGAATGCCCAATCCACCGCAGATGTGTTTTTTTTGCAATTACGTAATCATGACGCCATCATGGGTCACGTGACGTCACTCGAAAGTTTAATACATTTAATCTTTGAAATTCCATATAAAATCAAACGTGAGAGACCGGAACCTGAAATTTGCGGGAATCGACATGGTAATACATGATCTTCGTTTTATGTTGTGCGCGTAAAATCACGTGACTTTGTGCCTAATCATTTAAAGGTGGAAAAAGATATGAACTTGCTTTTAACGATTTAAGTGTCTGCCTGGATTGACTTTTCAAAAAAAGTAATGGGTGACGCCATCAAATGTTAGAGCGCCCTCTAGCGGCATGTTTAAAAAACGTCGAAAACGCATTATCACTTGATGTATGTGGCGAAATTTGCGGTAATCGCCTCAAACCTAACATACATGATGAACTTAATGCAGAAAATTCCTGTGCGCGAAAAAAAAGTTGATGACGTCATCAGACCGGAAGTTATAATGAAAAGACCTTTAAACCTTAAACAATTGCTAAAAAATCAACCGTGAGAGATATAATCAAGATGTGGCTACATATAGCAGAGTAAATATAGCTCTGGAGGTTTCTGGCGATGACGTCACAATGACGTCATTAAGTGTCATATTGCAATAAAATAAATATTTCCATATTTAATCTTTGAAAATCAATATAAAATCAACTGCTACAGGTTTGTTTTTGTTTTTTATGGCAATCGATAATATATTGCAGGGTCTTCATTTTTGGTTTTAAGTGCCAAATCACGTGACCCTTACTTCCGGTCAAAACCGGAAGTGCCTTATTAATTGAAATTTGCAGAAGATGCGAACTTGCTTTCAACGATTCGAGTGTCTGCCTAGGCAGTACTGTTAAAAAAAAAATACAGGTGACGTCATCAAATGTTAGAGCGCCCTCTGGCGGCATGTTGAAAAGTCAAACATGGATTTAAACATGCATATTTTGAGTTGATGTGTGTGGCAAAGTTTGCGGTAATCCATGGCCCAACACCGTGTGGTTGTTCCTACAACCTCTAATTTGATTTGTTTGTTTTTTATGTTTTTAATGTTTTTTTTACTTAACCAGTATATGTAGCTTGCTAGTATAACATATAAGTTTGGACCCCATAAGACAAAGGCCAAGGTCATTAGGATTAAAACAATAGACTTTTATTTTATTTTATTTTTAATTTTTTCAGTGGGGGGCGCTGGGGGGGGGGCTTGAACATTTCATGGGGGGGCGTCATGCAGGGGCGTTAATCGCTTCTCAAAAGTGGGGGGGGGGGCGGACATACCTTTATCAGAACTGATGCGAGCGCGAAGCGCGAAGCCCTAACTGCGTGGGGTTAAGGGACCTGCAGAAAAAATGATTCTCGATGTTCTGTGGTGTGATCTGAAGCAATTTCGTACCACTTTCCTCCATGCTTCAACTAATATTTTCTTAGCAAAAGATAATTATTTGAACATCGTTTTCGAGGTTGGAGTCATTGAATCACCTATCGGTATTCTGAGCTATAGGCGTGGGGTTCGGGGCCCGCTTAAGGGCCCCGAAAAAAATTGGATTCTCGATGCTCTGTGGTGTGATCTGAGGCAATTTCTTACCACTTTAACTAATAATTATCTTAGCACAAAAGATAATAATTTAAACATAATTTTCGAGGTTTTCTCAGCTAAAGGCATACGAAAAAAAAATGAACATTGTTTTCGAGGTTGGAGTCATTGAATCAGCTACCAGAATTCTGAGCTTTAGGCGTGGGGTTCGGGGCCAGCTTAAGGGCCCCGAAAAATTTTGGATTCTAAATGCTCTGTGGTGCTATCTGAGACAATTTCTGACCACTTTAACCAATATTTTCTAAGCAAAAAATACATTGTAGTACATAATAGGGCCCTGTAAATGAGACACGAGTTCAACAATCTGGAGGGGGGGGGGGACTTTGATATTGTGTCCCCCACCCTTCAAAAAGTGTGTGGGGGGGGACATGTCCCCTGTTACCCCCCCCCCCCCAGGATTGACGCCCATGGCGTCATGTAGATCAATGATATTTTTTTTAGAAACTCTAAATCTCAGTGGGGGGGGGGCGACTGGGGGGGTGACAAGGTTTCATGCCCCCCCCCCCCCGGTGGCTACGCCACTGGTCCTGTGTCACTATTCTATCCTCCAGCTTAACCACGCTCAAAAAAACGATCATCCCACAGCTGTTTGAAATTACGCAAAAAAACCCCGCTAATATACCATCATATCCATCAGAGTGCCTTATCTCTGTTCCCCTTCCCTTTAGGCGTTGACGCTTCAGAGGAAATGGTAGCGGTGGCCGTTAAGACCAACTCGGCACCAAACGTAACATACAGTCAATGGGACGCCCGAGCCGTGGGAGACAACCCGGACTGGCGAGAGGGATTCGACAAAGTTGTCTGTTTCTTCGTTCTTCACTGGTTTCCCGAGCAGACCCAAGCGCTCCGTAGCATCTCGGCGTGTCTGAAGCCGGGCGGGCAAGCACTTGTTATCATCGACAACCACGATGACCTCCTCATTTTCACCCAAATGACTTCGTTCTTGAAAAGTCACGAGAAGTGGGGTGCTTTTGTGCAGGTACACGTATAATTAAACAGTTATCCTTCCGAATTCATTTGGATCAAGCTTTTTGGGGATCAGTTTTGTTGTTTGGTTTGCGTATAGATCGAGATGCATTCATAATCCGGGTCAAATCTTAGACCGATAAAAAATGGTTAACTATACAGCGTTGCTGATTTCGTCTTAACGCGGGGGACCAACAGCATAGAAACAAGTACCAAGTGGTAGAACGCCACGGCGGTCGGGTCATGAAGACGGCTTACGGCACCGTCCGCGCACTCGGGCCGGCCTTACCGGTACCTGGAGAGTACAGAAAACGAAAACAAGTCGAATGTGATCTAATATGCAAAAATATGCAAATGAAATGCAGTCGCATCAGTGTTTTCACAACCGGTCTTCGAATGCAAAGCTGTAATACTCAAATTGCACATAGCCGAGTAAAGCGTCCATTAACCAACCAACCAAGGGCGGATCCAGAACACAATTTTGGAGGGGGCCAAACAAAATGTTGGTCCCCCAAAAAGTGGGTCCAGAAATGACGGCGTGGGGTTCGGGGTCAGCTTAAGGGCCCCGAATTTTTTGGGGGATTCTAGATAGTCTGTGGTGCAATATGAGGCAATATCTGACCACTTTAACCATTTTTTTTAAGGAAAAGATGGTGGTGTACTCATTGCCTACCTTTATTGTGACGTCACTTAAAAAAAAAACAAGAACAGGGGTTTGTTTGGGGGCGAGGGGCATGACCCTCCCCCCCCCGTATCCGACCTTGCAACAAACCAACCCACCACCCACCCACCCACCCACCAATAAGCAGCTCAAGCCCACGGCAAAAAAATTAAAATCGGATGTTAGTGTTCGCTTGTACCCCCGCCCTGCAAACATCAGACGTTGGGATACTCTGATGAATTCACGCTCTGATTGGTTGGTTTTGCGTGACCTGTGTGCTGCGCGTCATCACGGTCATGACTCTGCAAGGTTTTAAACGGTCGTTAAGACCGAGTCACAACTCTTTTATTCCAGTTTAGAGATTTTTTTTTTTTTTTAAACGTAATAGCGTAAGAAATTCTGTAAAACTTATCTGTGTAGTAAATTTACAATTCCCGTCAGGCTCCGTTTCGAATCACAAACGGTCGGGTTGCATTATACGACGCTCATAATTTTGTTAACATGGTCCGCTATGAAACAGTAAATCACATCCGATATGGAATGCGCGGATTTCTATGATAAGTTTTCCGATAGCATTTGCGCACATTGTCTAACTGCGGACTTGAACATCTGCAGTCAGATGCTTTATACATAGGTCACAGGTCACTTCATTCACAAGATTCTGTTAAGCTCATCGATCAGCGTAACACAGCGTCATGTTTGCAGGGCGGGGGGTACTTACGAAATGTAAGTGGTGGCCCAACGTGACTCACGGGGGCGCAATTACCCAATATGTAAGTTAACAGTCAATTAACAAGCTGACAGGTATATAGTCCGGTTAGTTTAGAATAACACAGGAGCTGACTTAGAAGAAATTGCAATAAAATGTATTTAATGCTGTATCACGCTAAGGAATTTTATCATGGAGAGGAGAAGTGTTTTTGTTCACTTTTTCTCTACTACTTTTTCATCATACCTAAACAGTCGTATGGAGAGCGTCATGTTTTCTTTTGCGTCCGTTACTGGTCAGAATATCCGTTCACATCACGTATGGGACTTTGCGAGAAACGACTGATCACAGCATACGACTTTTCTATGTCAACCAATTATTGAAATATATGGTAATTTGCTCTTCCGCACAATACTATAGGATATTTTCTTGAAAAAAAATCAGGAAATTTGAGATTGTTTTACTGCCTGAATTATTTAGTGGTTAAAATATATCACTTTGTGCTCAATAAACCATTTGTTTTATGGAAAAACTTAACATAAACAGGTCTACTTGATACAAGGGCGAGAAACCATTTGAAGTTAAATTTCAAGTGTCTACCGCACTAGACCGGACTCTAAAATATTAGTGGAAATATCCGAAATCCGAGATTCGTGTAATCCTTTTGTGATGCGTTTAGGTCATCGGCATAACTTATAAATAAGATATAAATTGTCAAAAAAAATGAACGTATACTCAAAAAACTTTACGAAGACAAATTAACGGGATTAAAATCGGGAATGAAATTTTAGCTGAATTCTGAGCTTTAGAGAAAAGAAATTAGGCAGCGTGACAAGTGTATTATTTCTATAAGTAATAAACGTGCCCCAGATCAAAGTCTTAGGCCGAGGGCAGGGGTGGACCATGCCAATCATCTTTTTGAATAGTAATAACAAACCGAGGTCTGTTTCATTCCGAAAGAATCATTTCGTCGGGACTCAAGCAGTATTAAAGGTCTTGAGACCGGTTGTTACTTTTGTCAAGATTGGGTGCAGACAACATATCACAGCCCATATTTCTTAAGTGTAACTACTTTTTGCTCAAGTAAGGTGTCAGGTATCAATTTGTCAACACTGCCACTGGTCAAAATTTTGTCTGTAATCTTCGTGAATAGAAAGGTTACAACTTACAACTATAATTATTTGTCTTGTTTTTTATTTAGATTATTGTTATTTATTATGAGCGGTCTCGGTCTCGGTCTCGGACCATTTCGGTCTCGGTCTCGGTCCGCCTTGGAGGTGCTGGTCTCGGTCTTGGTCTTGGTCTCGGTCTGGGACTATCCGGTCTCGACTACAACACTGGAGTCAAATATGCTTTTCTGGAGTAGTGCATTTCACTCTTGACCAGCGGCGGCGGAACACTTTTCAAACTGCAAAAACCTTTAACACTGATAGTGTCTATATCAGACCATGGGTATAAAACGTTTACACCCCTGGTCCTATATAGATACCACCATTGTTGAATTTACCCCACAGTTTTTGCAGTGTAGTGCCCTGTATAAAATGAAGACTTGAAACATGTGGTCTACTGCACTCGCATGAGGTCATGCATCCTATCCTATCATATACAGACATGTAAGTCGAAGTAAGTCACCAGACGAATGGTTTGAGGACAAAATGTCCCACATTTTAATCTTTAAAAAATGATTTAAAAAACCCTTCCATTCCATAGAATGAGATTTTCACATGGTGTTTGTGTATTTATTTAAAGTCGTTTGTGGCTTGAATGGTTTCTATTGCAATTTGTTCTAGGTCTTAACTTACATTGACCGGACTAGTGTTAAAAAATGCGTGGAAAGACCTTATTTAAAGCCTCAATCAATGATGTTAACTAAAGAGGTGTAAAAATCACATGCCGGCCTTTTTGACACAGACAGAACGGTAACAGAGGTGTATTGCCTTGTCTTTTGTCTTTCAGGACTACAAGTCATCATTGTTCATGTGGAACCTATCAGTTCAAGAAACGCAGAAAGTCTTCAAAGCGTGTGGCTGGGCCGAGGCTAAGTGTGAAGTGCGGAGACACGAACTGGTCCTGTCTGAAATTCAGTTAAAATGTAAGCTTTTGCAAACAAAATGGATTGCTTTCGAACCACATTTGTCTCGCCTAAACTTTGTTCAGGAAAGAGACTATGCAATCACTTTGTCTGTCTGTGTGTGTGTGCGTGTGTAAACACCGTCAATCGTGGACGTAGGACAACCGAATTGGGCGCAAACAATACGTCCACGGTTGACCGAACGTCCATGATCTCAAATCGTGTACAAAACCATTGAGAGCTGTCGCTAAAAAGTTAAGAGTACAAACAAAGGAAAGAGGATTAGGGACAATGGGGCGTCCACGATTGCTGGTATTTACACACGTGTGTGCCTGGGTGAGTTTGTCTTACATACGCAGTGTGGACTTCCGAACAAAAGACGTCCACATAATGTAGGTAGCACCGACGTTGTGTGGACTTACCCCACGTCCACACAGTGTTTCCCCATTTCTGGAAAACAGGTTTAGAGGCATTTTTGGGTTAGGTTTATCTGTAGCAGAATGAAGAGAAACACTAAAGGGAATCATAGAAAAAAAATTGGGTTGAAAGAGTTTTCACAGTTTGAGAAAAATGAGTTTTTTCACTGGTTTTTCTTAACTACACGAAAGCAATGGAAAGTCCACACTAGTCATGTGAAACAAGTATGGGTGAGTATGTGGGTGTGCGTTTGTTTATGGTGTAAATCGAGGACACACATATCATCGGTGAATCGAGGTCAGAAACCGAATCAAGGACTCCTCAGTTCGAAAACGTGTGCAAAACCAATCATCGGAGAGCTGTTGAGAAAAAGTACAAACAAAGGAAAAGGGAAGCGGAACAAAAGAAAATCCTCGATTTACACCACAAACAAACGTGCGGGTGGGTGGGTACGTGTTCATCTTTTTAAACAGTGGACGAAAAATACCAGGGAACAAAAGAGAACAATATCATTCACGATTCCCATCATACGTCCGCGATTGGGGTCGTGTACAAAAGCTATGGGAGTTTTCCTAAAAAGTTAGAGTACAAACAAAAGAGGGACAATAGGACGTCCACGATCGACGGTGAACACACAGTGTTCCTGCATGGCATTACGCCTGAGGACAGACAACAAAAGGAGCACAAAGGGGCCATTGATCCTTGAAGGAAGGTGCCTATTGTCCTCGAACGCAGGTTTGTGTGCTTAGTCTATGGGAGAGTGTTATATTACAGGGACAAAGGAAAACACAAAGCCAATCCTCGGAAGCATAGCAAAAAACGACTGGGTGTGCGTGTCTGTGTGGGCATGTATGTAGTATACATGTAGTTGGTATTTTGGTTGAAGTTTCGTAAAATTGGTCTCATTTCAAAACTTCACAACCTTCATAATGATACTGATGTCAAAGATCACATACCAAGGTGAAAGGTCATATGAGGTCAAGTTGTATAATTGCCTGAATATGTAAAATTGGTCTTATTTCAAAAGTTAATTGCAACCAAACTTGGGTCATAGATACAACAAATGATAATGATATCTATGGTCAAACACCAAGGTCAAAGGTAACTCTTTACAGATAATTGCGAAAGCAGGCAAGACACATGGTTCGAGACCCAACTCGGTTTTTT